ATCAGTCTTCAGTACCAGAAGGCCTCTATGTTCAATGGCAAACTGCTATTTTGCTCTAATGTTCCTTTTTGGCAGCCATGACTTTCTCTTAACACTCCTCTGATACAATTTGAATTGGTGCAATCTCTGATTGTAGCTGCAAGCACTTTGACTCTAACTGCTACAAGAGATACTTTAACACCCTGCAATTAAATTTCAGGTTTTCAGAGACGTTAACCACTTGACCTCCGGAAGGTTTTACCCCCTCATGATCAGGGTTTTTTTTTTTTTTTTTTTTGCTGTTCAGCACTGTGCTACTTTCACTGCAATTGCGTGATCATGCAACACACAAATAGAGCTTTCGTTTGGTGTTATTTGATCACCACATCACCACTGGGCTTTTTAATTTTTTGAGATATATATATATTTTTTTAATTTTAGGTCTTTTTTTGTTTATATTTTTTCTACTTTAAAAAAAAAATTCATACATTTAGGCCAAAATGTATTCTGCTACACGTCTTTGATTAAAAAAAATTGTGCAAAAGTTGTGCGTTTACAAACTATAGTAAATACGGTATACTTGAATTTGCATAGCTATGACACTAGACTGGTAATGGCAATGATCCGTGACTTCTAATGTGACTGTGATAGGGTGGCGGGCAATCTGGTGCTAACAGATGCTATCTGTGAGTGTCACTAACTGACATTGCTAGTGACTCTAATACAGTGATCAGTAATAATACTGTACACCGACATTGTACTTATGACACTGGCTGGGAAGGGGTTAACCCCTAGGAGCAATAAAGGGGTTAAGTATGTGTCTAACAATGTGTGAAGCTTGGTTCACATCTGTGCGGTTGGTGCCGCTGTGGGACCCGCACAAATAGTTGCAGCTGCACCACCCACTCAGAGGAATGCGGGACCCACGGGTGGGTGGCCATTAATTCTAATGGCACGCCGCACACACTGAAAATCCCAACCGTACTGAGAACCTTGGTTCTCGTGTGGGTGGCAATTTCCGAAGAAGTGCAGGGACGTCTTCCCTGCGTGTCCCATAGAAATCGCAACCGTACTGAGAACCTTGGTTCCCGTGTGGGTGGCAATTTCCGAAGAAGTGCAGGGACGTCTTCCCTGCGTGTCCCGTAGAAACCTCGCAGGGACGTCTTCCCTGCGTGTCCCGTAGAAATCGCGTACTGAGAACCTTGGTTCCCGTGTGGGTGGCAATTTCCGAAGAAGTGCAGGGACGTCTTCCCTGCGTGTCCCGTAGAAATCGCAACCGTACTGAGAACCTTGGTTCCCATGTGGGTGGCAATTTCCGAAGTGCAGGGATTTCTTCCCTGCGTGTCCCGGGGCAAGGGGATGTCCATTCAAATGAATGGGCTCTCATGTCCGTGCAAATCACGGGCCGCACATATTTGAGCCTGGCCTAACGTGTGTTGCTTTTACGTTTCTTTCTGGATGTTTTTTCTGTCTGCTTTGCAAATACGCGAGTTAAATGAGGTGAAACTTAAATTTACAAAAATACCCAATCTCATGCTAGAAAAATAATAAAAAACAGCTTTTTTTTCCCACTTTTGGATGAGACAATTATTATTATTATTATACAGTATTTATAAAGCACCGATAGTTCGCTCAGCGCTGTACATTACAAAGGGGGACAGAACATGTGACAGAACAATACCAATACAATGCAAAACATGAGGGGATTGAGGGCCCTGCTCTTTGGAGCTTACAATCTAGGAGGGAGGGGATGGTGGTACCGGAGGAGATAGCTGTGGGGGATGGGGTGGTAGTGAGTTTCCCTTCATTTACTAAGCTCTGGAGCAACTACACTTGCAAAGAGCAGTCTAGTTTCCTTTAATAAATCTACCCCACTGTGTGCAAACAACTGCAGCTGTCTGTGCCGGTTGTCAGATTTGTACTCTGCACAAATCTATGGCTGGCCCCACCGTTGTTCGCATGTGACCGCTCATCTGAGTGGTTACATGTGAATGGAGCCTCAGACTGACCCTGGACGTAGCCAGCGTGCATCCCTGGTTGGCATTTCTGCAGAAGCGGCCGCACAAACTGGCAACAGCCAATCGGTCAGTTTGTGTGCAGCCATTGCACAAGGGTGTTGCTGTGTTGCTGTGTCCAGGGCTGCCGTTCAGCCGGCTCTGAGGAGAGCAAACAATTGACTGCTATGTTGGTACTGTTTTCAACAGAGATCTTATGTTTGCCTTTACAAATACAGTATATAGAAAGTCAACATTTCCCTGCAGTGTACCTACTTTTTCACATAACTGTATATTTCAGGTGTGTATTTGGATATGTTGCTGGTGTTTGGCTTTAAGCAGAGAGCGATTTTCAGAATTCTCTAAACCAGCGTTTCTCAACCTTTTTTCTGTCAAGGCACCCTTAAAGCGGAGTTCCACTCACTCTGTCACAAAATAAGTCAGCAGCTACAAAAACTGTAGCTGCTGACTTTTAACCCCTTCACGCCTAAGGGTAAAACAAATCTAAATGCCTAAGAACAATTCTGCAACATTGACGTGTGATAGTAAAACCGTACATATCACCACAACTACTTTTGTACGTCCATTTGGATTATACCTTGATTTTTTCAGGACAAATTGGGCTTTCATTTTGGTGGTAAATGGTAATGGATAGCTCCTAATTTTGTTTTTATTATCAAAGGAAAACTGGCTCAAAATAGTAAAAAAAAAAAGATTTTTCTTTTTTAGCTGTGTGTTTCTTGTTACGACCATAACCTACCACCATAGAACAACCCAAAATTAATTCTCCAGCTCTCGACGATCGCAGCGATACCATATATGTGTATGTTATTTGTTGTTTGTACCCGTAGTACAGCCCAGAAACAATAGTGCGCATTTTGTCTTTTTTTTTTTTTTTTTTTTTTTTTTTAACCTAAAACACACTGACCCTGACATTAAGTGATACCAATTTTTTTTTATTTTTTTTAATCTTGACCTTTGACCCTGACCTTGACCCAAACACTAACCCTGGCACTGAACTAGGTCAAACCTTGATCTAGGTATTTTTCTTTATTTTGTTTCTTTTATTTTTTTAATATTTATCTTTTTTTTTTTTTTTTTTTTTTTTTTTTTACAAACATTTTTTTCTCTCTCTCTGTCAGGAGTTAGAGAGATACAATGTATCTCTCTTCTCCATTCATAGAGAGAGGAAAAAAAACAAGGGTCGGGCTGCACAGTGACTGATCACTGTGATAGCCAATCACAGCGATCACGTGACCCGGATTCGGGAGTCCCGGGTCCCAATTGTTAGAACGGGACCCGGGGCTCTCAGTGACAACATGGTTTTTGTGCTGGGAGTGCGCCAAGTGGCGCGCTCCCAGCACAAAGACAGGTACGCAAATATGTGGCCCCACGGAAAAGAGCCCAGTTCCGTGAGGCCGCATATTTGTGTGCCGTCAGCATCAAGGGGTTAAAAAACAGCCACTTACCTGTCCCTCGGTCCCGTGGTATGTCCCCCGCAGCCAGGTTCCCCGGCTGTCCTGTATTCCAGGAGGCCGGTATCTTCAGTGTGGGCACCCGGCTGTGATAGCTTGCAGTTTCACAGCCAAGTACCCACTGCGCATGCGCGAGTTGCGCTGCGCTTCATGAATGGTCCTGTAGTCTTCTGGGACCTGTCATGTGTCTCAAAAGGCTACAGGGAGGGAGGACACCTTCCGTTCCCGATCGCCAAGGCAATCGGACTGGAAGTGGGAGCGGGTACCTGTCAAATTCGGGTACCCGCTTCCCCCCCCCCCCCCCCAATCCTTAATGAGGAGCAGGGGAGCAGTCCTTAAAGCGAAACTACCCCTTTTGGGTAGAGCTCCGCTTTAAGAGCTGTAATTCCTAAACCCTTCCTCCAATTTGGATGTATATACCCTCAAATTACACCTGAGAGTGTGCACTTTCAGCCCATATCCATTATATAACTATAGCTTGAATATGTTTTGGTAAATACCTGAAAAAACTAAAATTGTGCCTGTGTCCAAATATATATAGACCCAAGTGTGTGTGTGTGTGAGATTTTGCAGTTCCAGGTAGGGGGCGCGCGCCTTAGCTGCGCCGCCATTCGCTGCCTTGACTGTCAATCAACAGGTCCCAGGTGGTGATTTCTCGCTGACACCCTGTGATCGCCGAGTGTAAACAATACTGATCTCTCCCCTGTCAGCTCCTGCACACTGCTTTGTATGGCGCTGCATTGCAGAGCCATACAAAGCAATGTGCTTACAGTGAAACACAGGCACAGCCCGCATAGTAAAATGGCACACAGTTAACCCTTTGATCACCCCACATGTTAACCCCTTCTTGCCCAGTGCCATTAGTACAATGTCAGTGCTTTTTATTAGCACTGATCACTGTATTGGTGTCACTAGAGATGTCAGTGACACCAAGTCAGTTTCCCCCAGTGTCAGAATGTCCACTATAAGTCGCTGATCGCCGCCATTACTAGTAAAGAAAGAAAGAAATCCCAGTATTTATACCGCCATTTGTAGACGCTATAACTTTCATGTAAACAAATTAATTTACTCGTATTGGGATTTTTTTTTTTTTTAGCAAAGACATGGAGCAGAATACATTTTGGCCTAAATTTATGACAAAATTAGATTTTTTAAATTTTTTTTAACTGGACATGTTTAATAGCAAAGAGTAAAAAATATTTGTTTTTTCTCAAAATTGTCGGTCTTTTTTTGTTTATAGTTCAAAACATAAAAACCGCACAGGCGGTAAAATGCCACTGAAAGAGAGCTCTATTTGTGGAAAAAAAGTTTTATTTGGGTGCAGAATTGCATGACAGTGTAATTGTCAGTTAACCACCTTCCGCCCACCATATAGTAATATGACGGATGCAAGGTGGTTCTCTCGTTCTGGGAGGACGTCATATTGACGTCCTCCCATTCTAACCTCCCATGCGCGGCTCCCGGAGCGCGCAGCGTGGCGATCGGTGGTGCGTTGTGTCCCTCGAACACACAGCGGATCACCGATCCACGGAAAGAACCGAAGATGTCGGCTCGGTCATGTGATCAGCTGTGTCCAATCACAGCTGATCACATGTAAACAGGGAAATGCTGGTTATCGGCATTTCTCTCCTGACGAGCTGTCACGCTGACAGAGGAGAGGAGAGGTAATTGGCATTCTGCGAAGGGGACATGTACACTAATCATCAGAGCACTGATGATCATTGTGCCCTGATTATCAGTGTAGCCCCAGCAGTGCCACCTGTCAGTGTCCATCAGTGCCAGCAGTCAGTGCTCATCTGCGCCAGTGCCACATATCAGTGCCTACCAGTGCACATCAATGCCACATATCAGTGCCCATCTGAGCTGCCTTTCAGTGTCACCCATCAGTGCCAGTCAGTGCCATATATCAGTGCTGCCTTTCAGTGCCCATCAGTGATGCCTGTCAATGCCCATCAGTGCCACCTATCAGTGCAGCCTATCAGTGCCCATCAGTGCAGCCTATCAGTGCCCATCACTGCAGCCTCATTAGCGCACATCAGTGAAGGAGAAAAATCACTCATTTACAAAGTTTTATAACAAAAACTAAGAAAAAATTTGTTTTTTCTTCAAAATTTTCAGTGGTTTTTGGTTTAAGAAAAAATAAAAACTCAGAGGTGATTAAATGCCACCAAAAGAAAGCTCTATCAGTCACAAAACAAATTATAAAAATTTCATAGAGGTACAGTGTTGCATGACCGCGCAATTGTCATTCAAAGTGCAACAGCGCTGAAAGCTGGAAATTGGCTTGGACAGGAAGGGGGTAGAAGTGCCCTGTAGGCAAGTGGTTAAAATAACTCCGCGCCGTATCACAAAAAATGGCCTGGTCAGGAGGGGGGGTAAATCCTCTGCAGGGCAAGTGGTTAATGCAGCAACATCCACACATGTAGGACACCCAACATTAGAGGCTAAAGTGGCCCCAGTGCTGATGGAGAGGAGCAAACAAGGATACAGGCACCTAACATCCTCCTTACCAACCAATTACATTGTCCATTGTTAGAGTGCCAGTGCTTGGCCCTCACAGTGCCCATGGTTGTAATGGTGCACAATAATAGAAAAATAAAAAATGCAGGTCTGGTCCACTTGCTGACTTGTTGACAATTTTTGGGCAATTTTTGAAGGCATCTCTGAAGAATTTATAAGGATGCCTAATGGTGGTATATCCCTTTCTTTGGGTTGAGAAGCTCTAAAGAATCTACCAATGGGCTGATATACATTTTTTTTTTTTTTTTGGTAGTAAAACCTTTTTTTATTTGCTGTTTCTACTGAATGAACTGGTCTTCTTTCCTTGCACATGGTTGAATAGTTGAAGTAGACTCACATGGTCACCTTTTAAATACAGATAGTTTTTAGTAGGCGTTGTTCTTTAATAGACATTTTCCTTCTTTTGATTGTCATATCCCATTCCCAGATGAGAGTGAGGCCTCACCCTCCCCATGTGCCCATTATTGGTGTGCCAGTCATAGTGGGGAATCCATGTTTTACTCATTAATACATTCCATTCCTAGTGATATCTCTCCCACACAACAAGCTCCGCTCTATTAACGTTCATGAATTATTCTGTATCCATTCAGCATTTTTTTTTTTTTTTTTTGCTGTTCTTCAATCCCATCTCTCGCTTCACTCGAGTCCTTACAAACGTGCTAGACGTGCCGTGATTTACCGACCAAATCCGTCTCAGAGAAATGTCTCATTTTAAATGGCGGTGATTGGGGCTCATTAAAGGCACAGTGTCTCGGGAGTTGCATAATCCGCTTTAGATCTCATAAAGATCTCAGCTTAGGCTTGTCTGGAAGTCAGAAATCGTATTCTTCATACGAGGATTGGTGGCTGGCTACACATCTTATGAACTTTTGTATAGCTTGACCATTATCATTCGTCCGCTTTCATTCATTTCAGTTGCAGTGCCAGAACACTAGTTCCTTTTTTTTTTTTTTTTGCCCCCAAAAGAGGAAGTTCCGCTTTAAGGACTGCTCCCCCACTCCCCATTAAGGATTGGTACCTTAGGGGGGCGGGGGGGGGGGTACCCAAATTTGACAGGTACCCGCTCCCACTTCCGGTCCGATCGCCTAGGCCAGGGGTAGACAACCTGCGGCTCTCCCAGCTGTTGCAGGACTACAAGTTCCATCATGCCTCTGCAAGTCATAGCTGTAACTGTCAGTTTTGTAATGTTAAAATGCCTCATGGGAAATGTAGTTCCACAACAGCTAGAGAGCTGCAGGTTGCCTACCCCGACCTAGGCGATTGGAAGCGGAAGGGGTCCTTCCACACTCCCTCCCTGTGTCTTTTGGGACATGTGACAGGTCCCAGAAGACTACATGACCATTCATGAAGCGCAGAGCTACTCGCGCATTCGCAGTGGGTACCCGGCTGTCAATCCGTAAGCTATCACAGCCAGGTGCCCACACTAAAATTGGCGGCCTCCTGGAATCCAGGACGGCCGGTGAAACGGGCTACAGGGGACACACCGAGGGACAGGTAAGTGGCTGTTTTTTTTTTTAAAAGTCAGCAGCTACAGTTTTTGTAGCTGCTGACTTTTATTTTTTGACAGCGTGAGTGGAACTCCACTTTAATGAGTATTCCACAGTTGATAAATTACCTGTGATCAATACAGTTGCAATGGAAAGTAAAATCACTTCTTAGGCCTCATGCACACAGGACTTTTAGGGTTCTCGGTAATGGTACTGGCGCACCATCCAGCCCTGCAGCCGGTAAAACTCAATTACAGGCTGACAGCTGCTGCGGCTGAACGGCGCACCATCCGGCCCTTCAGCCGGTAAAACTCTATTACAGGCTGACAGCTGCTGCGGCTGAACGGCGCACCAAGTGATATTACGTTTAGTGCAGTATGCACCCAGGGGTGAATACCCAGAATGCATGCTGCTGACGTTCAAAGTGTTTGTCTCTGGGTGCATACTGCACTAAACAGAATATCACTTGGTGTGCCGTCCAGTTGCAGCGGCTATCAGCCTGTAATAGAGTTTTACCAGCAGCTAGGCTGGATGGTTTACCCTCCTGCACCTTAACGCCAGGGCCTCATGCACTGAGGCGTAAAGTGGCTTTAAACCTCAGACATGAAATATGAACAAAGCATATCCCTCTATAGTGTATATTCAATTAAGAGCATTGAGTGTCACTTCTTTGTGCTGCTTCCCTCCTCTGCTATCAGCATGTTTTCCTGATACCAAGAGAAAAATGGTGAGGGGGGGGCGGGCATCCAGCAGAGCGACAGCATTCAGCTCTGTTCCTGTGAGCTGTGTGAAGGGGGTGTTTCTCTTCCCTCCAATCAGCTCTCAAAGCTCTCCCCACTGAGCTCTACATGGTATTATTTCAGCTTCCACCCCCTTTTTTCTGAATTCTCATAGAAGCTTTATAAGCAGCACTGTGAATAGATGAAGAGAAGAGAAAACAGCGGATACACAGATGAAACAAATTCTCCCACATAAGTTGTACCTGTTTATCACCTGAGGCCAGTCACTTTACTGAGTTTACAGTCACCCGAATGCCCAGTGTGCATGAGGCCATAAGGAGGCCATACAAGTAGTAATTTGTGATTGAACTAGGTACAATCAATCGCAAAAAATATGATTTATTGCCAGTTAAAATATTGCACAACATAACACTCTGTATTCTTCACTGAAATTATTAAAAATGGAAGATGCAGTTGTTTGGTGGTAAATGTATGTGATTGATCAAAACTGATCTTATTATTATTATACAGTATTTATAAAGCGCCAACAGTTTGCTCAGCGCTGTACATTACAAAGGGGGACAGAATATGTGACAGAACAATACCAATACAGCGCGATACACGAGAGGTTCGAGGGCCCTGCTCCTTGGAGCTTACAATATAGGAGGGAGGGGATAGTGGCACAGGAGGAGATATCTGTGGGGGAGGGAGTGGTAGGAAGAGTGGAGGAGATCAGCAGTTAGCAGAGGGAGGGGTAGGCTTCCCTGAAGAGATGGGTTTTTAGGGTGCGGCTAAAGGAGAGGAGAGTAGGTGATAATCTGATGGGTTGGGGCAGGGAGTTCCAGAGGATGGGTGATGCCCTGGAGAAGTCCTGGAGGCGGGCATGGGAGGAGGAGACTATGGAACTAGAGAGAAGGAGGTCTTATGAAGAGCGGAGATTGCGTTTTGGGTAGTATTTGGATATTAGGTCGGTGATGTAGTTCGGGGCAGAATTATGGACAGCTTTGTACGTCAGTGTTAGTAGTTTGAATTTGATCCGTTGGCCAATCGGAAGCCAATGGAGGGATTGGCAGGGGGGGGGGGGGGGGGGGGGAAACGGAGCTGTTGGTAAGGTGAATGAGTCTGGACGATCGTTCCAACAATATATTGTAGCAGATCAACAAAATTCCGATAACTATTCGATTTAGGCAGAGTTGATCATTGCAACTCAACAAAGAAAGAGAAGCCTCTCTGCATTTTAAAATCCCACTCTAGACTCTACAATTAAGCTCTGACACATTATGTTGCCTTCACACTGAAAAGTTTTTTCTTCCACTTTTGCATTTAAAAGAGCGGAAGAAAAACGTGTGATCATGTATTCCTATGGAACTCTTTACACTGATCCTTTGCAGGTCTGATGCGTTTTTAAAATCTTGCGTTTTGCATTTTTAGTGCGGTAAAAAAACACACCAAAACCGCATCTCCCCATTGAAATCAATGGAAAACGCTGCAAAAAAGCACACCCGCGTTGTATTTTTGGTGCAGATTTTTAGTTGCATGGCCTGTACAAAACGCAAAGCAAACTTATGATCCTGGAGCAGGCCATGGGCCACTTGAAGCCAGCATCTATCCTTTGGTGGAGCAGAGGGAAGGATGCCAGGAGTGGAGTAACTTTATCTGTCAGTGGCAGAGCTGATATTGATTGAGAGCTCAGCAGACCGGTCAGTCCTCAGTTTAGTTGCATTGATTGATCGACTGAATTATCAATATTGATATGTGTGGCCACCATTGCAATATAAGAAAATTATCCGTGTCATCTAGTCAATATAAGATTTGTTCTGATAACATCTGAAATGTATGTTGAGAATCAAGAATCTCCTTGATATGTAAACGTCTTCGTGGGAGGGGTTTTATTGCGCTTGTTGAAATGAAAGCTCTATTGTCTGAACTTCTGACTGTTAAATAAAACCTTTCTGTTTTCATTACATACAGTTCGGTCCATATATATATATATATATATATATATATATATATATATTGGACACGGCACAATTTTCATACTTTCGGCACAGTATGCCACCAGAATAAATTACAATAAAACAATCCAAATGAATGTGAAGTGCAGACTTTCAGCTTTAATTCAAGGGGTTGAACATAAATATCAAGTACAAATTTTAGGAATTGCAACCATTTTTTATACACAGTCCCTCCATTTTCAGGGGCTCAAAGTAGTTGGACAATTGAATATAATCATAAATAAAAATGTTCATTTGTAATA